CAAAAGATGGAATTGTTTCCCTTGCTTTCTTTTTATGGTCAAGGATTACGTTTTCAATAGAGTCCTATATGACTAAATTTGAACCTGATTTTGTTGCAGTATTTTGAGTTTGGACTACCATTTTGACTTTTTACTCGGTTAACTCTTGAATAACTCTTGAATAATTAAATTTTTCCTGTTTAATTAATTCAGGTTTTTGTTTCTCTAACCCTTTAATTTTATTCTAAAGTTCTGAATATGTTTTTGCTGTTCAAGGTTATTTTGTTTAAATATTTTAATTGCTGTTTTAATTGAACAATATCATTTTCTAGTTGCTGATTATTTGCTTTGCTCTTCTCGTTTGCTTTTTTTATCCTTTAACTTTTGATATTGCTGATCCTTGTTGGTTATTGTTGTATGATTGGTTTATGTCCTCGTTTCTTTCCTTTAATCCCTTCTTTCCCTGTTTTTGGTTCTCATCATATTCCGTTTTGTATTGATCATGTTGCGTCTTACCTTGAAGTTTAGTTTCAACTCTTGGATTTCTTTCTTTTGCACTTTGATCTGTTTTTGATAATTTTCATGGTCAATTTTTGTATTGTCTACATTAATTAGGTAACAGTTATATATATATATATATATATATATATATATATACTGTTACCTACTAAATCTGTGAATTACATTTTTTCTAACACTGTTCAGTAAAAAATTTTTTATAGGTGACGCGATAGAAGTTTATGCTACGCGTAAGGATTCGAGCGTTTTAAGTATTGTCAGATTGAACGAGCATGAATTCCTCCGCACATCACAACACCAAGTGGCGCGTTTGTTCGCTTATTCATACACTGCTAACTTTAAGGATCAGTTTTTATTATTATTATTTTCCGTGTTGGCAACAGTAATAAAATAAGCCTTTAATCAAATATTCCACATTTCCTCGAGATCCTCCATTAATTCCTTACTGCATATTGAGAATAGCCGAATTAAGTTTATTCGCCTTTAAATATCCACATGTCTTCGTAATCAAATACAGCCTTCATATCTTGCATAATCCTGTTATTGATAATTATGTGATCTTATAATTTTGATATTGTAAATAAAATTTGTAGTAAATCTATCTTGAGATTTTCGTTTGTTATTCTTAGATTTGTTTCTGCTATAGTGTATACTATTATTATCAAAGTATTAACATGGATTAAATTTCTTCCGTATAGTTGCTGGTGCTTTTCTATATAATGCCACAACTTAAAATATTTTTAGAAA